GCGAGACATTTTTAAGAAACGTGTCCGTGCGTGGTTTTCATAAGAGACCATGTTTACGGGACGCCGAATGGTAACGCCTCGCCGACCATATTGTGCGGGGGACTTTATTAAAGTCGTACTTACATATCACTCTCTGTTGCACTCATACCCCAAAGGAACCTCGCGCGGAATTTCTGAATGCATCTAATTCGAAGAATTCCGCGTAGGACGTAAAAGAGACTTTTATTTGACGGAGCATCGCATCTGCAAGGAGCGACTACTCGCGTTATATGCCTTTGAATACAAGTATATCTAATGCACACGTCAGAAGCTTCTATCCGAGTTGCTTGCAACTTGTTCAGATCTTAGAACGTATCTGGAAAATAATTTATTAAACCGAGAACGTCAGAGTTTTAACGAAGTTGTGAACACAAGCGTTGAATTTCAACAGAAAAAAGTCTACGATACCTAGGAAAATATCTTAAATAATTTAGTAAACTATACAAAATTTCAAATGTTTCTAGGTTCGACGAGAAATATAAACTCTGGAAGAATACGTGATATATCAAACGAATAGAATTAAACAAATGTTAGTATTAAACTGTGTTTTGGATTTAAATTGAATTCATATTCTACGAGGACTCGTCTACGGAATTCCAAGTTCTCGATTGGATTGTCTGGAAAGTTCTGGTTTGCCGTTCTGTTCTTCTGCTTTAATATAGTGGAAAACGTAATCGCGAGAAAAGGAGAAAAAGCGAATGGAAAGATTGATTGACGACGAACGTTTGACACTGACAAATGAAACATACGCTTATTGGAGTGCGCGACTGAATAAACACCGACTGTAAACAGCAGCACCGAAGAGAACGTAATATTGCAATACATTTTGTCCTGACATATAATGATATAATACGTTAAACAGAAATTGGTAATAATAAAAGAAAAAGAGACTGTTATAATATTTATACAAAATGTTGACTTGTAAAAACGAACTTCTGGGTCCCAAAATTCCCATCGCGTGTCGAGTTGTGCTGGATTCCACCAATTCTCGTGTTGCAGGAATGTTGTATTATACGGGGAATACTCGCACGTTATATAGGGTGTTTACCAGAAACATATGTAAATACTTGAGACTCCACATTAAAATAATTAAAAAATGTTCTACCATCCTTTTCGAGTTTAAGCGAAATAAGAAAATGTTTAAAAGTATCTGCACACTTACCAACAATAGTTTTCTATTAATATATGGGGAGTCTCAACTAAACTAAATGAAACTGTTTATCTCGATTTTATTACAGAACAAGCTACGATTACTGCGCATTCAAGTAAATTAGGAAACACCTGATACTCTCCACCGAACGCGAAATTCGATGTAGAGGCATGCGTGAACATCTATCGAGGCACGTGGCGGACATTTCTGACATTTTCTCCAGTCATCGATAACTCGAAAAGCAAGGTATGTAGGACATCCGTTCGTACGACGTTTCTTACCTATTTCATCGTGGCAGATTCGGCTCCCTAAGTATTTACATATTTCTCTGAAACATCCTGTAACGCTATGAAACATTTAGCGTACTCGTGGTGGGACGTTGGATCGGAAAATATTGGGAAACGTTATATGCAAGAATTGCAATCGAAATTTTAGCGCGAATACTAACGTAGACGCGGCCTGGAATCTGGAGTAAACATCAGGACGCCTCGAAACCGCTACAATTCCACGATCATCGTCTTCGCGAGCTCCAGGACCGAATGCAAGGACGAATCCGTGGCATTCGAGGCTCGAGGACTCTGTATTCAGCAGGTAGTTCTCGTTATACGACGTTCGTGAGTCATGCTATGCGAACTGTGGCATCGCATTCGCATGCAGGATACCTCCTGGCAATTTCAAGGGATCTCAGAGTGGGAGGTCGGATTGCCGACATTGTAAACACGCCTATTAACCCGTACACGCGAGTCAAGAACCGCGCGGGCGAAACCTATGCAACTAACGCGCGTAATTTCGCGCGATCGAGCGCGTAAACACCCACCCCTGCGACCACAAAACATAAGCAACATTTCGAAATCATCACTTCTAACGAATCGTTATTTTTTTCAAGCACACTTCGCGACTGAGACTATCTCTTAAGTTAGTGTCGAGACATTTTTGATTCCTTTAATCTTTAAAATTTGTACTTATATAATATTTTTTATAATAAATTAAGGTGCATCGTTCTCGTGGATCCTGAAAAAGCTCCGTCATATCCGGTATGGTCTAGTGGCTAGGATACCTGGCTCTCAATCAGGAGGCTCGGGTTCGATTCCCGGTACCGGAATGTCCTTTTTTTGTTAAATCAAACCTATTTATGCATCCAACCAGGTGACATCCTAGTAAGCTTCGATGACCTTCCTTTACTGATATACCAATCGATGACAGCGTACAGATAATCAGTAACAAACTATCGAAGATTGTAGCGTGTGAAAAATGAATTCTTCAAGATTGGATGTCAATGAAAATAAATCTAGATAGGACTCTTGAATTTAAATTAAAGGTATGCTAGTTTCCAATGCCATACAAATAAAGTTTCGATTTCGTGGACAATTTGAGAGGTTTGGTCTGGTAGTCAAAGTGTTAATGCAAGACTGTCCAATCTCCACCTATCTCCTGTTTTAAGGAACCTGTTACGAGCAAGCCTTTTCAAGCGATTTGCTTGAATCGAGGGTGAACTGATGACTCGTGAACCAATTGTGGCTCCTTCCTCCACTTTCTATGTTACTCGAGTGTAAAAGAACTACTATCCAGAGCTGAGTATCTACCCAACGTGAACCCTGATGGGTTGTTTGATAGTTTGCAGGTACGTGCATATACATATAGGGATTTTGTGAAATTTTGAACGAGATTCTTTAACCTCGCGTTAAGAAAGCAGAATTCAAAAGTACAGCTCTCCACGCAGAATGCATCGAACGGGTAACGGGTGCAAATTCAACGGTACCTTGACGGTCACGTATCTCCACGCCCTGTGATTATTGAATATTTAACGTCGGTTGGCCAGCGTTTAACTCCCTCATCCAACGGCGTGAACCGTAATCGGCGCGATCGTGCGATTTAACTTTGCTCTGAATACCCTTTGTCCCGAGATTTAGTGTTATCGATCCAGCCAGGGTTGCAGCGTATGTAATATGCCGTTCCGGTTTCCATTTCGAACTTATCACGCGTCATTGTACACTTTCCCCGATTTCTGGTCACGTTTGTTAAATCGTCGCACGTCTCATAGACATTTATCTGCTCCGCTGATTCGTAATCTTCTGAACCGATTAGCTGCTATGGTCATCGTTTGGGAATCACGCGTATTTAACCCCATCGCTCTATATGTCTTGTTATTATTCAGAGTTGGGTAAAATTTACAGGAAAAATATATTAAACGTTATTATAAATAGTAGATTCTTTACAATTCAAACGAGAGGACTATTTGATATTTATTATTTGTAATAAATTTTATCCAGCTTCGATCACATTTTTTTAAAGGTACGGCGTGTCTTTAGATGCAATATACTAGTATATTATTTGTTATTTACAAACGTATTTTGATTAAATCCAAGGACTGGTTTAAAGTTTAGCGAATAGTTTGAAAGGTTACGTCGAAATCACGGAAGTTGAGGATTTTATAAAATCAGAAACGTATCGATACACCTACACCGTAGAGCGATTAGAGCCTGAAGCTATGGATACCGAAGCCCTGCAAGATATCTCACGGCCGATTTACGATGATTTATCGAAAGATGATTTATTGGAAAGATGTTGGGAGAACACATATACAGAATAATATCGAAAGCTTTAATGCCATTGTTTGGTATATACGATACTCGTGGCGATTGAAGTGTAAAGCTGACGATACCAAAGTTGAGCAAGATATCTTACAGTCGATTTACGAAGATTTATCAAGAAATGATTTATTATATAGAACTAGTAACAAAAACTTAAATATTATCGTTTGAAATATTATGCCTATACTCTTATACCACAGCTTATAATCTGTAGAAATTCTTTTCGAAAATTTTTTCCCGGTATAAAAATGTATCATAATTGTAAAAATTTAATTTATTCTTTAACTATTATGTTTCAAGGTATTCAACTTATCGCTGTTCTTTTTCTGAAGATATTATAATAACATATGTATGTAATGTATGTATTTTATGTATTTAATGTTAATTGTAATTGAGCATTGTATAAATTGACTAGTGTCTGTTGAAATAAATAAATAAACATTCAGTGAATTTGTTATAAATGAATGAGTAATTCTTAGTGATTAATATTGAGTATTTTTAAGTATTTGTGAAACTATGTTCAAGAAATAATAACTAATTGATTTACTAAGTTCATTATTATTGTTATATTAAATAAAATAACAATGTGGGCATTGCACAGTACTATGCCCTTCAGTACCTACAAATGTTTCCATACCAATCCGGTATGGTCTAGTGGCTAGGATACCTGGCTTTCACCCAGGAGGCTCGGGTTCGATTCCCGGTACCGGAAGATGACTTTTTTACATTTTTTTTTTCACTTAAATACATTTTTATCATCCATACCCTTCCCTAATCCATATACCATTTGACTAAAAATTATTTAACAAACAAAAAAAATACATATTAATATACATAACCAATGTATATACTGAAATTTTCAAATACTTAAATTGTATCTGTAAATTTTAGTTATACATGAAAAATAAAATGTTCATTTAAAATTAAATAGTACACGTTATTTTTTAATTTGAAAATGTACAGATCTATACTATAATTCCACATTTTAAACATTAATCTATAAAATCGAGGTCCAATATTAAAGAGGAAATATAAGAGTTTACGTATTCTAATTCTTATCGTTGTCTGATTTATTTTCTGATTCCCAAGAAAATTAATTCGAAGTTAATGATACGAAATTAATGGACAAGTTATTTTGGTGATAACATGAACATTCTCAACATACCTGTAATGAAAATTTTAAGTTTAAATAATATTGTTAAGTACATAAAAGAACTCACTTGAGAGAAAAAGGTCCTGGAGGGCCTGGGCAGCCTGGCATAGGAGAGCCCATGTTTCGGCAGCGGCAAGTCCTGTTCCTCGCAGAGAAAGGACATCTCCTGCCATAACAGGAAGGCCAGGTCCTCCGCTTAGGTCGGTCTGCATCCTGCAAAATCAATAAATTCCATATTTTTATTCGGTAATATGATTTTCTTAACACGTTTAATATAATGAAGAACATCTGTGTTTACCTGTGAAACAGTTATATAATAATAGATACTAAACTTTGACGACACACTAAATTTTCGACTTACGCAGTCTATTTACACGTACAAATACGATGTACCTTACATACAGAAGTACCAATTTTAAGTACTAACGTTTAGAAAATATCAAAAGAACCTTCAAGGATATCTATCAGAATATTACATGATCATTCGATTTAACAACTGCTACAACCTAATTCATGACTACTGTTTCAGGCAAAAGTAATAATTTCCTATCATTTGGAGGCCTTTGCATAATTAATAATTCCATTTGCAGGTGTGACAGGGCGTTTCACGTTTCAAAGCATCTGATACCACGTGGTCAACAATGTCGGAATAGCTAAACCGCACATTCTTGAGCTTCCCGACCTATTCTCTACCCCACAAAATGTGCCTTTGTGACAATTTAATAGACAAGTGTCACGTTTATGAATTTAGTGGAAATAGCTGGGCGCAATGTTAAAATAGCGTGTTTATTCTTAGCAAAGGGCAAGAACGTGCCTCATTATTTAATATCCTTATTCGAATAAATATTTTTGACTATACGCTCGAATAAATAAACAACTCGTGCGTTTCAATAATTAAAATATTAATAAATAAATTATATGACCAAGCCTTCGATTGTTTCCAAGTGTCTTTGTTGTCGATTTTACTTCAAAGCTCCAGTCTATTTTGTGATTTCTCATTATGAAGTTGGAGGACTTGATGTTGTCTCCCTCGCGAAGTAAACTCCCCTTTTGTTATCAGTCTGCCAAGTATTTCGTTATTGCAGTTATCTTGTTAGTATGGTTATACAGCCCTTCGCTACGAGAGCGTAATGTCGCGTTACAAAATTAAATAGTTTCTAAGAAATGTCCAAGCGTTGTGTCAATTTTAAATCACCTGTCTTTGCGCACATTTTAACCACTGTAGTTAAAGATTAACCACTCGTTCCGTTTTTAATGAAGCGTAGAACAGACCTGCTTGTAGGGCAAGGTGACTATTAGAATTTTTTAGTATATCGTAGATATGAATTGCGAATAGTCAAGGGCCAAGTATTGATTCCTAAGATACTTCAGTTTGCATTTCCCTCGACGTTCAAGTGCAGTCCTTAATTGAGAATTTAAGGGTTCTCTTAATTCGATCTTATCTTACGATTTTAATGATGTGGACTCGTGTGTTTGCTCGGTGTAGCTTGGAAATTAGTGTACGATATATCAAAGCAGTGTCGGTAATGTGAATCTATTTTCATCGAGTTTGATAAATTATTTTATTTAATAAATAAATTTTTATCGTGGCAAGTAGTTTTAATAATCCTCGATTTTAAATTGCTTCAAATATTGCGTATTGTTTAACATATAATGGTGGACACGGTGCAGGTTTTCGTACGAGGCAAGCGAGTCTATATACTTTTCCCCATGAATTCGGGATTATACATCGTGTAATGAGACCTTTATTCGCGGCTGAATCTTGTTTAATCCTTTAAATTCGCTATCGATTTTTCATCAGCAGACAATACTTCGGAGGCTGGCACAAAACAAGTTGCGAACAGTGGCTGGCTTCGATGAAACAAGATTGAAGCAACGCGTCGCGCAACCCACCGAGAACAAACAAATGTAAACAGGCCGGGGCGTGCATATTGGATGTATCGGGCTTGTTGGGTGCACAGCTTCGATTATTTCCATCCCTTTTGTTCGACATGTCGCTTCCGCTCCATTTCAGCCTGAGAACCGTGTGCCCTTAAACGGGCCTTCTTAATTAATTCGATCGCGATTGATCGTTCGATTCCATACCAGATTTACGAGAAAAGACAGATTTTCAATATCGCGTGAAATTTTCTTCTAACTTTTTTTTTTATAATTCATGATACATCGAGAAATTCTGCCACATGTACACACATATACATGGACGCCATCAGGCTGACACAATCCTTCAACGTATACACTTCGTTTAACTTGATTTTTTAATTCGAATAAAATGCTCTATTTTCATGTTAGAATATAGGCAAAAATGGTACGCAGAATTTTCTAGCACAAAGTAACTACTGTCAAAAATGCATCGATGAACTCGAGTCCATTATTTGGTACAAAGAAGCATAAGAAAAATTACAGTATTTCGTTTTGAATCTGCTAATGGACTCCATTTCAATAAATGGATTTCAACAAGTGAATAAAATGAAATCAATTTGTAATTTTCAATTCTTACACGTGCAATATTTATACTGTAACCAGTGTAGTAATGGTCTCTGGTTTGTTGTGAATTTATTATTATGAAACATTCATTATTATGAAACGAATTTTCCCTGGTAGGAAATCGAGGCACCGCTCTCGTCGAAAGCGAACGAAACGCGTCGTTTTCGAAGTGACACAAATTAATTTTGGATTTTAGGAAGTGTGATTACCGACATACTGTATGTATATCGAATTCCGATGCATTTCATTTTGCCACCGTTTGCGGGTCGAGTCGCCGCAACGACTAAACCGGGAGTAACCCTGCTGTTTGAAAATGAAAACTCGGTGGCTGAGTCTGGATCGATTTTTAATCAAACGCAGGGTAGCTTGCATCCGCGTGCACTGCAGTTTTTACGCGTGGAAATTTGACGTTCGCAAACCTCGACGTCGAAAACCCTAAGACAATAGGCGTCAATCGATTCTGAATGTCAATTTGGCACAGGAATTATCGTCGTCGTCCCAAAATAATATAGCCAAACTTCTCGTATTCGAGCTAATAGAAAAGACACAAGTTTGAAAAAGAAAAATATTGCTATGTAAATAAATTGTCGAGCTTGAATGATTCAAACATAGACAGTCACATATACAATTTTGATATAAAATACTGAAAAAGACTACTATGCAGAAAGAAGTTAATTAAAATGTAAACCTCTGAAACTAGTTCAACAAGCTAAATAGAAACAATCCTCCATCGATTGGAACAAAATTTGTCCATTTGGTTCGGTCTGTCTGCCAGTCATGAAACATATAATAAATACGAGCATCGGAGAGGCTAAAGTGGAGAAAACTACCAACTCACGGAGACGATTGGTTCCAAACTGAACGAAACTTCCGCGACAATCGCAGTCCGCTCGAAAATTTCGCTTCCAAGGTAAACTTCAATTTCGAACTTTTCAAACCGATACCGATCATTCTTTCTGTGTATGTTTTAAACGCAAACGGTGGAAAGTTATCCGTCGCTTTTGCTCGGAAACTTCGAGCCACGGTATATGCAGAATGCTCGTCAAAACGCTTACATCAGAGGTAATTCCTTCTGCCCGAAGGATCGACGAAACTTTCGCGAGGTATTAGCTTCATCGCGACAAAAATGACGCGTGGAAACTGATTCTTCGTCCCCTTGATACCTTGCAGGTAAACAACCCGATTAGAGATGAAAGTCGGATTCCAAAGCCCTCAAATTATCCACGAAAACGAAAGTTTGTTTTTAGGCAATTGAAAACTAGCATATCCACAATTTGTCATAGCACTTACATTTACAGCCTCGTTAAAATTTAAGAGTCCTATTTAGATTTATTTTCTTTAACATCTAATCTTGAGAATACTTTTTTCTAGCTCCTTAATATGTTTAAAGTTTAAAATTTTATTTTATGAGTTTCTAAAACTAAGCTGTGCATTTATTAAACTTGTAATTTAAAATATAATGTTATTATTGAATTTTGCACTCTGTATTTTTAACTTACAACAAATCTGTGAACACTAGCATTACAAAATTACTTTGACAACCGTTAATAACAAAATAGTGTTGATCAATTTTGTTTTTATTCCGACAATTAATACGTTTTGCCCTTCCATTAGGCTAACGCACTGCACTTTATTACGTTTGACAAATTGTAGTCTCCTTTGTGATCAAGGAAATGCACAATAGTGGCGTAACTGGGTCATCGATTATCCGATACTTAAAGGAGATTGGAAGATTATTCAATTGGAATTATGCGATTCTCGGATTTGTTCGATCTTAAGATGTAATTCAAGAGGACGAAAAGTCCACTCTTTGCTCCGACCTCGATAAAACCCTTGGCTAGCCAGAAAAGTACAAACAAAATTAATATACAGATTAGTGCTTGTATTTTTAATTGCTTAAATTCAATAGATCCACGAATGAATCTAAATTTTTGATTCAAACATGGTCAAACAGGTCACATGGGTATGTGAATTTTCCATGTTGCTCCCAAATCGATCGCTAAATTAGGTCCCACATGTTAGGATACACTCTCTAGTTATAAATTGGACTAAACTATTTCTGTAGTTTCTAGTGGAACTTAAATTATTTGCAGATTTAATAGTTTCTTTTCTTTTAATTCGAAAGCAACCGTCTGGATACTCTTACGATACCACCAAACTTCGACGACTGTTTGCAAATGGACGATCGGAGGTGAAGGCAACATACTCGTTACGAACGATCGAGGAGGAAGAACGCTTAATTAGAGGACAATCCGTTAATGGCGGCACGAGAGTGCCTAGCCTAATTCTGTGAAATTTCGTCGACAAGCAAATCAAACTACGCCCAACGAGTACCTGCAAGTTCCTACGGACGATCGTAATCGAATAACGACGCGCTGGATGCCATCATTTTTCCAATACGCCTTCGATATTGAGTTACCGGGGGTTATTAAAAAATTACCAAGAACAAGGGACGATTTAACGAACAGCGAAGTTCGCTCGCGTGACTAGTGTTGCATCAAAGAGTATTGTACAACTATCGATCCTGCGATAGAAATCAATTTTTCTTTCGAAAACATTGTTGATCCATCCAAAAATACATCGATGATGCTTAAATTTCATAAAAAATGTCCTTGAGAAAAATGTTAACTGTGTTTCCATCAATTTAAATTTGTCCAAAATAAATACATAGTAAATTCTATGTATCAAGGAAAACAGAATCGAGAAGAGGATGAAGAATAAAAGCAGTA